CCCCAAAAAAAAAAAAATTTCTTTTTCTCTCCCCTTAACAGCATTACCTCTCTGATTTTAATTACGTATTCCTCAAGGAAAACAAGTATTTAATGTTCCGTAATAATAAAAACCTACGGCCCCAATCACATGCAACTTAATAACATGGGGCCGACAATCTTCCCCTTTTAACTAAAGTCAGATCTGATCCGATCTGATCAGATCAGACCGAGACTCGTCGTCTTCCTTAATTATCCTGCGAAGTACCTGATTATTATTCCCTTCCCTCCCCCCCTTAAGACAAAGTAGCGTGTATTACCGAAGTAGATCACTAGATCTTACTTCACCCCTGGTTAACTTCTAACCACGGTTGAGTTAATCCGCAGATATTCTGATTCCCGCGTTTTCCCATTCCGCTGTTTTATTCCAGCTCAATGTTGGGGAGAAAAAAAAAATAAAAAAACTTAATTTTTTATAAAAAAAATTTAATTACGAGAGAGCCAATTACAAACTGCCAAGTGCCAACTCATGTTGTGTATGGCGAAGGATGGTAGACACTAGATTTCGCCCGCTTCTTGAGTTTTCCTTTTTAGATGTACTGAATTTTTTTAATAGTGGCAAAAGTAGTTTTAACAATTATTAGCTGCAAAGTGAGAGCCCGCTGACAACACAGCATCTCGTTTGTTTTATATTTATTTATTTATTTTTTTGCAATTTTCTTTTACCCCTTCTCTTTCTCTCTCTTAATCATCATCTTCCTCATAATCGTCATCTCCATTCATTTCTTTCTCTCTCTACATTTTATCTCTCTCTCTCTCTTCACATCACTCACTCGTCCTCTCCCTCCCTCCTTCTCTCCCTCCCTTCCCCCCTCTCTCTCTCTCTCTCCCCCATCCCCTTTGCTTTTTTCCTCTTTTATTCTGTCCAAAAATTTTATTTTTGCAGAGTGTGCAGTTGATGACGATGATGGTGATGATTATTATGCGCTTCTGTTCTTCATCTTCTCTATCCTCTTTACTGCTGCTTTTCTAGTTTTTCTTTCTTTCCTTTTTTTTTTTTCTTCTTCTCTTAATAAAAATTCTAAATCTGAAAGCGTATAGCAGCACTAACTCATAGGAATTATACTCTTTCCTGTCCTTCAATCTTTCTTTCCAGTTGTCTAAAATACTCTCTCTGCTTTTTTTACGTTTCTAGTTTTCCTCAATCAAATACTCATATATATAACACCCATCTATCTTTACCCAAACTTCTCTTGCTGGGTTTTTTTTTTTCTTTTTCTTTTCGTTTTTTATTTTTGGGGTTCTTCCATTTCTCCCAATTCCGCCATCGCTTGAGAGAATTCAACGGAATTATTGATAGATCAGTTTTACCATTGATGAGAAGATCCTTGTGCACTAATAAGAGTGTTATTGATTGGATTAGGGATTTTTATCTTCATTGGTGTTACTGGTAAAGATGCAGCAAGAAGGAGGAGGAGGAGGAGGAGGTGGAAGTGGGTCTCAATCCCAATATGGTGAAATGAGTGGTGGTGCTGGTGGTGGTGGTCCAGCAACAGCTGGACTGGCCAGCACTCACATGGTCGACCAGTCCCAGCAGCAATTAGTAGAAGCAGCGTCTCCGATAAGCAGCAGACCACCCGCAGCCGGAAATTTAGATGAATTTATCCGGTTATCAGGTGGGGGAGACGAGGATGCACTGGGTGCGGCTGGAGAAGAAGGGGATCGAGCAGGAGCGTCAAGTAGCAACAGGTGGCCCCGCCAAGAAACGCTTGCGCTTCTCAAAATTAGGTCGGATATGGATGCTGCCTTCCGTGACGCCACCGTCAAGGGCCCTCTTTGGGAGGATGTTTCCAGGTAAGTCCACCATCACCGACGCCCTGCCGCCACAAAAATCCCCTCACATTTTTCCCCCAAAAAAATAAAAAATCAAAAAATTAAAAATTTTAATTACAGTTTTAATGCATTTTTGATGGACCGTGGGTATTCCCCTCTCTTTCATTCTGCAAACAACAGCACATGCCTTTCCTTCTCTTCCCATCACGACTCACGAAGCTGCGGCATCATTTTCCTCTTTCTCCCAATTAAGAAAAATTGGCCCAGATCCGCTGCATGAACTCCAACCAATACATCTTTTCTGATTTTATTTTAGTACCATATTTAATTAATTTTAGAGCTTCTTATTTTATAAATTTCACTCATAAATTCGAAATTTTGAAAATCCCCAGAGGAATTCTTTTTATTATTTATTTATTTTTTTATTTTTTTATTTTTTATTTTTGCCTCCCTCTCATTATGGTACTCTTTATTCCATTTTCTCTCTTTTTACAGCTCAAATTTCTGATTATGAAGAGGCGCCTCTAACTTTTCCTTTTTTATCTTAATTTTGAAATCTGACGGTTGTGAATTTAGTTTTTTTTTTTTAATTAATTTTTCTTTTTTAAAAAAACAAAATTTTTTTTGGGGGAATTGCAGGAAGCTGGCGGAGCTGGGATACAAGAGGAGTGCGAAGAAGTGTAAGGAGAAATTCGAGAATGTTCACAAGTACTACAAAAGGACGAAGGAAGGGAGGGCTGGGCGTCAGGACGGGAAGAGCTACAAGTTTTACACTGAGTTAGAGGCTCTTCATAGCTCTTCCGCTGCGGCCGCCGTCACACACGCCCCCAACGTGTCAATGTCGGTTTCGCCTGCGACTGCGGGTACTACTCTAGATGTATCTCCTGTTTCGGTTGGGATCCCGATGCAAGTCCCATCAGCAAGAATCCCTCCGAATCCTTCTCAGCCGGTTTCGACCGTCCCGGTGTCTTCCTCAATTTTCACGATGCCGGCCCCGGCTTTTGTGCCTGCTTCACAGGCGCCTCCCTCATATACTTCAGCCGCCGCTCAGTTCGGGATCAGTTTCTCGTCTGATAGCTCCTCCTCTTCTGAACGCTCGGAGGATGACGATGACGACGAGGAAGAACTTGGAGGGGAGCCATCGACCGCTGCTGGTGGCAGTCGGAAGCGTAAAAGACAACCCTCAAGAGTACGCAGAGGCAGTGGCAACACCCGAAGGATGATGCAATTCTTCGAGGGGCTAATGAAACAGGTCATGCAAAAGCAAGAGACAATGCAGCAGAGATTCTTAGAAGCCATAGAGAAGAGAGAGCAAGATCGGATGATAAGAGAAGAAGCTTGGAAGAAGCAGGAGATGCTGAGATTGAGTCGGGAACACGAACTCATGGCTCAAGAACGCAACGTTGCTGCATCCAGAGACGCTGCAATAGTCTCATTTCTGCAGAAGATCACAGGCCAGACGATTCAGTTACCAACCACGGTAACCATTCCGACCGTAACTGTCACGCCACTACCAACGCAACCGGCGCAGTTAATCACACCAGCGGCTCCTATTTCAACGGCAGCAGCGTTACAACATCAGCCTCCAGTTATACCGCAACAAACACCACCACCGCCACCGCAAGTGCAGCAGCAGCAGCAACAGTTGCGTCATCAACATCAGCCGCAGCCGCCGCAGCACCGATCTCAAAGTAGTGACGTGGTGAGGCATCAGGCGCCGATTTCTTCAGAAGTGGTAATGGCAATCCCGGAACAAACGGTCCCACCTCAGGATATTGGTGGCAGTGGAAGCTCAGAACCGACGTCATCGAGATGGCCCAAACCAGAAGTTCTGGCGCTTATAAAAATGAGAAGTGGGCTTGAATCCAGGTATCAAGAGGCCGGGCCCAAGGGCCCACTTTGGGAGGAAATCTCTACTGGAATGCTACAGATGGGCTACAAAAGGAGTGCTAAAAGATGCAAGGAAAAATGGGAAAACATCAACAAGTATTTCAAGAAAGTCAAGGAGAGTAACAAGAAACGCCCTGAAGATGCCAAGACCTGCCCCTATTTTCACGAACTCGACGCCCTTTACAAGAAGAAGATAATCGGGAGCAGCGCTGGTGCCAGTAGCAGTAGCTTTACCGGCCATCAGAGGTCCGAGGAACAAACATCAGAGCCGCATCAGCAGGAGAGTATGCAGGTTGCTCCGTCAACCATGGCAGCAACACAACCAACACAAGCTGGGGAGTTGGAGAACGAAAGTGGAGCTAGTGGTGATGTGCAGGCGGGCAAAGAAGGTTTTCCTGAGAGCCTATTTGGAGAAGGGAATGGATCAACAAAGAAGGTAAGTTTAATATTTCACTATTTTTTTGGGGGTTTATCAATGGAGGTTATTAATTAACATAATATAATAATGTCATGGTGTTATATTTTTTTGTGATGCCAATATATTGATTCTGATGTTGGTATTGAAGCCAGAAGACATCATGAGAGAGTTGATGGAGCAACAGGGGATTCCGCAGCAGCAACATCAACAGCCTGGACAGCCGTTGGCAGTGGAAGACTATGAAAAGTTGGGTGAACCTGACAGCGACGTCATGGATGAAGATGAGGACGATAACGAGGAAGACGAGGATGAATTAGAAGAAGACGGGAAAATGTCTTACAAGATAGAGTTTCAGAGACAGAACACAGGCCCCTCCAATGGGGGAGGGAATGGGACAACCTCTTTTCTTACCATGGTTCAATAGCCTGTGATCAATTTCTCAGTTTCTCCACATATCCCTAAAAAATGTACCATATGTATACGTGTGTGTCCACCAAACATACCTACACCTAACAGTACTTCAGTCCAAAAAATCCTCCCTTTTCTTCATTTTTCCTTTGTTTTTTAATCTTCTCTCCTACTTCCATTCCCTTTCAGCCTCGCTCTAATTTCTTGTTCGTCCTTGTCTTCTTCTTTCGTCAAGAAGTTCTTCTTTTCGTTTTTTTTAAAAATTACCAGAATAGTTTTGGTAATAGAGAGGCATCCACACTGCACCGTCACTTCATTTAAATTTTTATTGATTTAATTTGTTGGTGAATAAGGAACCGTTTCAAAGGCAAACGGGTAGGTGATTGAGTTGAGACTGCGGAAATAAGGTTGCTGAGGGGCAGCAGTCCCATCAAGGGAACAGAACCAAACACAGCAAACAAAGAAGGAAGAGAGACAAAGAGACTGCTGATGATGAAAAGGGTCATGACATGAAGGTGTTTATGTTTCAAAATTTTCTTTGATATCAATCTTGGGTTCTCTCTTACGTACTTTCTTGGATCAAATTAAGGAATGAAAAAATATCCTGGGTTTTTCTTAAAATGCTTTACCTTGAACTGTACCAAATTATGAGCCTTTTCCACATTCATTCTTTCATCTTTGAAATTTGTCATTGTCAATTGATTTATGATTGTTGTTATCATTGTTTTTAGGTTTTCCACAAAGGTAATAAAAAAAAAAAAAAGGAAAAAAAGAACAGTGTAGAGTGAGGGAAAAAAAATAGTAGGAGAAACGGATGAGATCAATGAGTTTTGTGCCTCTTCTCCTCTTATTTTTGTTTCCACTTAAGTATATACTGTTTCTTTGGCTCCTTTGTGCCTACTTGTTTGTGTAACTGTAACTTTTACATTCTTAGAACTATAGTTTTTATTACATCTTCTTGTGGATGGCTAGTGCTTTTATTATTATATGGTTAAGTGGTTGGACAGCTTGGATTAATTCTTAGATCGAAGTAATGTTCAATATTTGATAAATAAATTAATTCATAATGTTCATTGATAGGTACTTTCGCGTGATATTTTGATTAAATTTGTTATTTGTCTATTCAACTCCTCAAAATGGAAATGATGGTACACATCGTTCCAAATATTTTAATAATTTGATGCACTTCCAAAATAAGGCTCAAATCTGGCTTAGGTGTTGGCTCCATCACCCTTCTTTTTTTTTTTTTTCTTTTATCTTCCTTTTCAGAAAGTTATAAAATAGATCAAGGTTAACCATTAAATAATATATCATTGAAAGGGATGGAGTACTATAGTAGGTATAACACAATCAACAAGTTGATTAAAACGGCCAAATGATTAGATACAATATTCAGATGTTAGCAAGACTCTGAATCCGTTTAGCCTATATAAAACTTTTGTAAAGTATTTTACAAGTGGGGAATCAACCAAATTTGAGTTAAAAATGACAATAAAAGTATGAATAATTTAATGATAATTTTTTTCTGTAAATAATTATTTTTTATTATACGACTTAAGATTTAAAAAAGTAAATTTTGTATGTATTGTATCTTCTACACTCGTTTTGGAATATCTCCTTCTCTTTTCTTGCTTTTGCCTGTGTATATATCTCTTTCTACGGTACTACCTAGAATTTTACTTTAAAATGTTTTTCTTAGCATATTTACATCAGAATGGGGAATATGAATAATTTTGAGAACATTTGATATTTATTTCATTACACTCAAATGTACTCTAGTAAAAATGATTAAATTTGATTCGGTTGTGATATTTTTTAGAAATGAAAATTCGTTTTAACTTTTATAATATTTACATAATATGAAAGGAGTAGATACATATTGTTTCATTTTAAATTAAAAAAAACAATCAAAATTACGCACATGATATTAAAAGATTTTATACTTATTAAAAAAATTAAAAGTGCCAACTAATCATTTTCTAATTTAATTAAGGGGAAAAAAACGAAAAGTATTTTTAAGAAATGAACTTTAAGAAGCTTTAGTGTGATTCTTAAAAATAAGAAACTGCTGGCATTTTTAAAGGAAAAGAAAGAGACAGTTGGTATATGAACAGATGGTCTCCCATAAATATGATGATTGCAGTTTGCCAACTAGCAAAACGTGGGTTTTGTATCAGCACAGTGCGTTGCAATTGCAATTGCCTTCCCACTTAAATCACCCCACCATGTGCTCAGATATATGCCTTTCTTATTTTACTCCTAAATATTCTACCACCACCACCACCACCAATCTTCCCCCACTTGTTTCTCCCCCTTTTCTTTTTTCTTTTGTGCTTTTCTCTTGTGCCTTTCAATCCATACCCACAATGTACTTTGTCCATAACTATCACTCATATCATATCTCTTCTTAATTATCATATCATTTCACCTTAATAGAGCTTCCATTTCTAACAGAAGTCACAAAAATAATTCTCACAAATTCTTTGATGATGAAATTGACCATATTTGCAATAAAATATTAATAGATCGTAATTAAAATCTTAATAGTTATATTTTATAAACAGATATCAATTTTTTTTAAAAAAAATAAAGACGTGTATGTATTTCACAATAGGATACAATTTATTTTTGATACTAACAAATACAAAAATTATAAATAGCCTACAATTAACCCGGTATGTTGCATATGTGGGGGTGGCATATTTGACGTGATTCAAATATGTTGTGATTAAGGAAAGGACGTAATTAATGGAGGAGAAAGCACAGAACACATGCATCCACTCATTCTTACTTTGCTTTGCTTGGCGGGCAAAAATCCTGTGCACTGCACGTGGACCGACTCTCTCACATGCGCATATGCAATTATGCACCTTACCACTTACCGTCCAATTATTCCACTATTATTATAAATCTTTTCTTTCTTTTTCTTTTAACTTCCCAAATATTTATTGTCTTATTTTTTTTAATATTTATTAAGTACAAACATCACACACCGAGCCCTTCGGGTCAAGTGACAAAAGCCACTCACAATGCATTCCCCCCTCCCCAAGTTGGGTTCGAACCCAACCATCGTAAAGTCTGTTAAAAAATATATATATATACAAACATCACAATAAAATTTATTTTTTAAATATTAGAAAGGTGTCGTACTGTTTAACTTGATATAGACAATATAACTGTAATTATTGATGAAAGAGGGTCCTCTAAATGTGAGGTCTTCTTCTCCTACAAAGTTTTTATTTTAAATATATAATTTAAGACATTAACTTAAACTATGAATTAGAAAAAAAGGAAATTAAAATTAAAAAAAAAAAAGAAGGAAAAAGCCAAATTATTAAAACTAGCTTGGCTAGTTAGCTGAATCAAGATTCATTAATTTCAAAATCCTTAATTTTTAAGATTAAGATAAAAAATTAAGTCTTTACGAACAAGTGTACATTAACTTTTTATGAATACTCTAATGATATAAAAGTGAAAATCAAGAAATCCACTTTTAATAAATTTCTTTTGTTAATTTATTAAAAATTTTAAAATTTTTTATTATCATTTTTAATATTTTAATTGTTAGAATGTTAAAAATTTTCCACCCCAATAATAAATACCACAAACTAAAAGCGTATTGCATATCAGATCCATAGCCACTCATCTTACAAATCCAAAAGATTTGAAAGCCCACGGATCATATCTAATAGGCTGTCAAAATCTAAGTCCATCATTGTTCCCTACTTTGATTCATCCCCTCTCGCCTTAATAAATCAAAAGAGGAAAGCTCTCAAAACAATCAAAGAGGAGAGATTCAATATAACCACCAGAGGATTGAAGGGGCATTTCCTCCCCCAGATAGAGGCTGTTCCAAACTTGAAAGGTTAAATCCCTTTCTGGTCCCTCTACTTTGGACCAAAAAGGGACTGAATTTTTAAACCTTCGGGACTAAAAAGGGACCTTTTAAGTATAGGGTCCAAAAAGGGGCTTTAACCAACTTGCAATAAATCAGACATTTTGTTTATGCCATCTTCACCACCTACAAAATGCAGGAAAATTAATGTATAACACAAAGTAGTTCCTCATTCCCTTGTCTTAGAACAACCTTATATTGTAGTTATTCCAGCACCAACATTTAAGCTGTCAACTATCCTACTGTAAATTTGATTTGATATGATACTTTTTCGCACAAACCCGTGAAAAAAAGTTCACAGAATGGACACACAGAAGTCCACAAACTAATCTTTGGATGCACTCAATCAAATCATGATCAAGGCAAGAAGCTCTTTGTATTCCAAATTAAGAACCTGGTAAACAATGCAAACCAAAATCTAATGGGTTCCCACGTATTAAGCACCTATTTTCTTCTAATATGCAAGAATGAGATGAGCATAACAAAAACCTAGCGGGAGGAGTAGTGGTAATAGCTATTCCCACCCTCAACATTCCAACTAAATATAAGAAAACAGTGCAAGCTTGGAATAGGTTTTTCTTGAGTGTACACTTCCTCAATTTTACCTTATTTTCATGCAAAGACCATGGAACAAACATTTAATTAGACCAAATATGAATAAATTGCACTAGAACTTTCAACCTTGGCACACTTGACAACTAAAGCAAATGGCAAACAGAAAGTCATCATATATTCAGCCAAACACTAGACAACTCATACGCGCTTACTTTTCAGGTTCAGCAAGTGTCTACTAGAGTGATTCTAGCATACACGCATCACATCTGTATAAAGAATACACACACCACTGAAGACTAGAATAAGAACCTCATAATTACCACTATATGATCCTGTAACCTCAAAATTCATAGTGCAGTTCTCTCTGATGCCATCAATCATCTCCAATGTGCAGCCAGCAGAAAAGGCCAATGGTTATAGTATATTTTGTAATTTGTTGTTAGAAGCATCTCTGTAGTTAGAAGCCATTGAACATTTAAACTCAGCATGCAGTAGCTGACATGATGACCTCAGCCAACAACTGGAAGCCAAGTCATGCGGCTAACAAGTAAATTGCTCAAAACATTAAGAGAAGAAGACGTGATTTTGACTCAACTGACCCTTAGATTACAGTGCTGTGTTTAAACAAGATCTTATATGTTTTTGTTTGAGTTGCATGATAACACAAACTAATTACTTGATGCTTGATGAAAACTGAAAGAATAATTACAATAAAGAAATAATTTTTATAGATTCACGTTTGCAGAAAACCAGGAAGACTGACAATCAAAAATCAAATGCATCTACCAAAAAAATCTCGCCTACAATTCACATCTGCAGCCAATATGGTGATAAAACTTTATATTCAAATAATCTTTTTTTTTTTCCATTTTGGGAAAGCAGGGTGCAGGGTGCATGCAGAGCAATGAATCCAATAAACATGGGGAAATCATAGGGAAATCTGGATATAAGCATGAAAAAGATAGCATAGTTAAAGTCTGCATCCAATTTTAGGATTGAAGATAGCATTTAGGATTAAAACACACAAAAGAAAATTCACTGCATTCAGGATTTCAATCACATGGTTTCATATGAATAGTCTCAATTCTATAAAGCCTTAAGCGAAATACAGTGCATTTTTCTCCATCCACCATCAGCTCAACTGTATTTTGGAGTGCATTTATTCCCTAACTACCAGCTGGATAAAACCTTACCATCTTGTTTATTCTTTCTTCCAAATTTAATTCTCTTTCAGTCTTTCCTGTCTTTTGCTCAACCTTCTATCTCTTCTGCACACACCTCTCAATAATTCTTTCCTCTTTGACACATCAGAAGTATCATTAGATGTTGCTTTTCAAAAAAAGATGTATCATTAGATGCAAATAGAGCTCCAGATCCTATGTTTCAAACTTCTATGGAAATAAAAGAGAAAATGGAGGGTGAACAGGGCATGACAAATTATGTGGTAAAATAACAATTCATTAGAGATATCAATATGAATGACCTCGAACAGAAACCCAAAAGCTAAGGGCACCCACTATTTTCTCTTTGATAGTTGTTCTCTTCCTTCTATTTATTTCTTCACTGGTTCAGTTACCCATGAGGATTTGGAGGTAAAATTAGATAAGGTCATCCTTTGAAGTTAAATAAGGATAAATAACTCCAGGATGCCAAGATACAGCGTGTTAACATACTTATATCTGCATATTTAACACTTAAGTCATAAAGCACATGAAATCTCCAGTACTACTATCTAATGGCACAAAATCATAGTTAATATTTGAAGAGAATGACTAATCAAACTACAATCAGTTGAGCAATGAAGACCTGAAGCCAATTAAGTGAAAAGATGTCAAGAGAATATTAATTCATAGAAAGTGAATACTAATCTCCAAGTACTTTCTCAGAAGTACCATGTGCGTGTGTGAGTGTATTGAAATTAGGGGAAGGGGGATTTGAACTCAGAATTATAAGCCAGAGAACTTGCACTTTACCAAATGAGCTACAAGCTCAGGTGCAATATATTTCCTGACTCTAAATGCATTTGCATTGTCCATTTGCCAATTTTATACTCTCCTTTTGAATTTTGAGTGTATAATATCAAGTTTTGCAGATTAAAGAGATAAGTTAAATTAAGTCGGGAAAAATTAAGACTCCCCCAGGGAAAATTAATAAAACCCACCCCTCTTGAAACAACACCTCTTCCGTTTTTAAGTCATACTCTTCATTTTCTTAGAGAACTATCTTCAACCTAACTAAGCAAGATCTTGACTTAGCAATGGGTTCACCATGTGCAATCATAAGATGGTGTATACTGCCAATCTCCTAAAATGGAGAGTGGGTTTATTTTGAGACATTCAATCATGAAAGGCCAGCTTCTTTTTACAGGGGCAACCTCAAATAAATGTAAAATACAATAAATCCATTTGCACTGACAGAATCATCAAAAAGAAAATAAGATCTGGTGTTTCATATTATCAAACAACTACCACTTCACTCAGCAGTTCAAAATGTTAGCTATTAGTAATATGATCAATTACCTTCTGAACAAAAATGAAGGCAAAGAATGAAATAACTGAGCTGAAGTTTTGCATCTGACCTTCAACTCAACTGTGTACAATGAAGCACTCTAAGATCTGAAATGTTGAAGAATGGATTGAAAATGCCCAATGTCACTTGACAAGAATTGTTGCCAGACGGACATAATTTCTATGGGGCTGAAGTAGCATAAAGTAGAAAGCAAAGCACTGGCATTCCTCTCAAAGTCTCAATATTCACAAAGCGTCAACAACAGGGCTGAGGGATCCCTTTTCACACTCCCCAACTGTTAACCTAAGGAGTTCATCACTGCTATGGCTAACTTTGCAGCATGGACGACGAGGCACCTTCATGAGGAGATTCAAAATATTACCACAAAGATAGGAGAAGAAAAAACTATACACAATAAAACAGAAATTAGCTAGTGTGAACATGCAAGAGAAATATTTACAAGATAGAAACTCACCAAATGCCAGTTCTTCCTAAGAGGATATCCTATCACTTGGATATTCTGCACATTCTGCAGTGGAGGTGAACGTGGGAAGCAGAAGAGCTTTCTCTTTAGATCACCCTTTCCTTTGGCTCTTCTATATGAACCCCATGTAGTATTACCATTTTTTCCCACATCTTTGAGGAAAAATATTACGGGCTTTTTACAAACTGACTTATAAGGATCCCTAATGTCAAGATCAAACTCATGACTCTGTCTCAATCCATTCCAGGCAGAATAAGTCCGTTCTGAGCGCTCAAGCTCACGAGGTAGCACAATGTCTGGGAACACTTGGACAACATAACCAAGTGAAACTGAAAATGTAAGATGCCTAGCATGGTCGTAGCAGATTGATCTCTGCAAAAAGCTTCTGGGCTCAGCTTTCATGGCCTTTGTAAAGAGTTTCAAACTATCCAACGAGCTCAAACCAGGAAAAAATGGATCAACAACTTCAACATGATGAATTGAGACAAATGGTGCAATTGGATGAGAGGATAGAAGACCGTGGGCATTGCCTCTTATATCCCACTGCAAAATTAAGAAAGAAGACTCAATTGTTGTCTAGTATCTAGTTAAATTTTATTTTTTATTTTGTCAATAGAAAACTAAACTCATCCTGTCACAATAGGGATATAGACTCACCCCACCTATCTATTTTCGACTAATAAAATTAAACTCGTAAAGTCAAACAATTTTTAATTTCCTTCACAGATTCATCAGAAAAAAAAAGAATACAAAAAATTCTTCAACCTTTGTACCGTTAACAATCTCAATCCTCATCTATAACAACAGTAAGGTAGGTTGAGGT